GGTCTGACGCAGGGCGGTGGCAGAGATCCAGAGGATGCGCCAAGCCACGAGAGCCTTCCCGAAAGTGACCCACTATTGGACTATGAAATCGGTGTTTTTGAAAAGAAGGATTTCCATGTAAGTTCATTTCAGTTCATTTTTATTCTGGGAAAGATAGGCAAACACCTTTGAGCTCCCTGCTGGTCAATAAAGTGACTAGGAAATGTATCGACACAGAAGAAAAATTCAAAATGACAGCAATTATATGCGTGCTGGCGAAGAGCGTACAGCTGATGTTTAGCCTAAAGAGAAACCACGCATGGCTACTCATTTAGCACGAGTAGTGTAAATGGTTTAATTGCAATTCTCTGATCGCGTTCTGGTTGGGTCCCAGAACTCCGCCTTCTGGGTGATCCTCTGTTGGACTATGAAATCGGTATTTTTGAAAACACGGATTTTCACGTAAGTGTACCGTACGCTTGGTCTCCATTAAAGTTGTTCTTCCCTACTAAGTTTTCAACCACTCAAGCCATCAACTGTATTCTGTGCTAGTGGCTCGCAGGCTGGTCATGACTCTTAACTAACCGGTGCATGCCTACGCTGTATTCACTAACCTAATTTCACGTATGTAAATCGGCGCGGATAAAACAAGAGGTTGGTGATTCTTTTAACTGATCTATGAAGGTGGATGCTGTCGTGGCCCTGTAAGTAGGTATATCATGATTTTCAGTCCAGGAAGCTGGCTATATTGGCAAATATAGCATGACTTTATACCAACATTCCTCCTCGTCCTCCTCTTATCTCATTATGACTTTTGTTACTGGACGCTCGCCGATCGCTAACGGAACACACTCCTCTCCATCCGCCTTGGGGCTCACTCTTTTCTTTGCCGGAAATGTTCATCTGACTACAATACTAGCCGTTGTGCAGCTGCTAACGGAGCTCCAGTGTGAGCCCCATGGAAGAACGGGATGAGTGAGCCCCGTGAGCGTTCGTCACTGAGGGTTACTATTTCCCGATGTAAACCGCTAAGAAGGCGAGTCCGTGGCGCAGTGGGTAGGAGCTTTGGACTTCTGACCAAAAGGTTCGCTAGTTCGAGCTTCGGATGATGCACCACATAGGCGTGGGTATGAATGGCTGATGGGCCAGCAATGACCATTCTAGTCTTCCTTGTCTTTGCCGATTTTGACTGTCAAAACCGAGGGCGCTGCCGGTCTCTTATATGCTTAAAAGTTAGTCGATTGCTTCCACTCAAATTCAGTACTGTTCTGTCTGTCTGTCTGTCCTTTTCAGCTCCAAATTCTAATCCCAGCGCCGAGTCAGGAGCCGGATTACGAAAAATCCTTCCGTTTAGTCATTCTGGACGCCAAAAACCGACTCGACGTTCGTGTGCGTCGTGCTGTCCAACCGCCCATCGAAATGCAACAGCGCCGAATGTACAATGCTTCTTCGGAAAGTACGCCTGACATCTGCCTTGTTTCTTGTTCTTCCACCCTCTCGCTGCCTTCCCTCTCCTCCCCTGGCTTTCCCCCTCTTTCGCTCTCCTACATCTCATTTCTCTATCTGCCTCCATCCGTCCTCCTCCTCCTCCTCCTGTTCCTCCTTTCAGTCCTCTCTCTGAACCCAAACCCCTTCGGTCGTATGCTTCCCCTACGAAAATCCCGTAATCGGCACGCATACGTACGGGCATATCAGAGTTTGCATGTGGTCGCCTGAGTGTTCATCCTCTGGATTGTGGACCATGTCAATCCGAAGCGTTAGGGCCAGTAGTTGAGGTCACATTAACTTTGAGACTGCTCCAGTCGTGCAAGACATGGTCTGGCATGCCTGTTTCTGGCTTGGCCACTCTCATTATCCACTCATATACCGGCCAGTTCATTATTGAGCATTCCGATTCATATGAGTCTCAGAGTTGCGCTCTCTTGGTCGCCACTGGTTGTGACGTGCAATTAAGTTCCTCGATTACAGCAGCCAATATTTGTTGTAACCTAGTGTGTTCCTGTGTCAACACTGGTTGTGTCCCCCAGTACGTGTTAGGAAGAGAAGACAGAACAGGATAACAGATAGTACTTTACTTTTAGGTGTACTAGTACGTCAACTCTGTTTCCTGTGTGTCCAGCGGCTTGTCTTCTGTGGTCGGTCTCGTCTCGCCAGCGTATCTAACAACAGAGTCCCTTCTGCTCACAGCCTCGCTATTTAAGGGGCAGTAGTCATTGCTCCCCATTGGCTTTCCATGAGTGGTCGTGCGCACTCGCTAACGCGCGCCTGTGCATCTGTCCTCAA